CATGGCCTTTCAAGCTTTTTTAAGGGCAAGAGAGCAAAGGTATGTGGAACTCCTTTTCCCCAAAATCTCGGGCAGAAACTTCAGTAAGACCCTAAAAGTGGAATGACTCTAGTTGATGTGGTGCAAGGAGCCCCAATCCTTTCTCCTGAGGCACATCCACAACACTCTTTTAGCTTGACAGATTTCTATTTGAAAACCACTGCCTCCTTCCCTCTGCGTCACTCCTGGGGGTCCAACCTATGCATGTGCCAGGCAGTGTGAGGTTCCACATTTAGTTAGTACTTGCAAACTCTGAAGAACATGTCCCCTTCCCCCACTGTATGAATGAGTAAAAAGACAGGTCCAGAGAGGCTGACCCACTGAAAGATCATTTTAATTTGTACTGGAGAGCCATCATGCTGCAGTAACCCAGATCTGCCTCAGGCCATTAGAGGCTCCCCTCATGGCTTCCTAGCCACATGTACCTAGAGTGCTCTACTTCTGGGGGGCCCAAGGTCGGGTGATCTCACCATCAGCCGGGCATGGTTGATGTTCCAGGTGAAGGTGGTCATGGTCTGGTTCTGTGGGTCCACAACAGAATCCTCCAGGATGTACACCGAGTGAGCAACATTGGCAGGAAACAGTCGCTCAGCCCAGCGGGGCATCCTGTTGGTCTTGGTCAGGAGTCGCCGTGACAGGAGCTTCTGGTCAGGGGTTACCTCCCGGTGTACTATGTCTTCCGTCAAGACATGTTTGCTGCAGGTGTCAGAGTGAAGGTGACCCGCGGAGCCTGCCCCTGAGAGACTGCCTGTTGGCGTTTCCATTTGGAGCCTCCCTGCCCAGAATGGCCATGCCTTCTTCCAAACTTGCTGAGTGATCTGTGTTGTGGCTAGGACCTGAACTACAATCCCTGGAGCTTATCTGAGGGCAAACTCCAACTCCCGCCCCCTCGCTGGCCTGGATTCCTGGGCTTCCCAGCAGGGCTGGACCTCAAGATTTATTACACCACGGGAGGGTGCCACAAGCAGAGAGTGGTAGTCAAACGCCCGCATGTCCAACCCCAACATCCCTCCCAACTGCTGTGCCGCCACCTCTTCCTGTCTCACCACCGAGTTGAGAAAACCTTGGACGAGGGCCTCAATTAAACCACTGCTCAAGCCCAGCCTCCTCCTAGTAACTTGCGGGCCTAGCCTCGCCGCTTCCCGGATGGGGTCCTCTTCCTCTAAAGGCGGCCACGGTTCAGGGGATCCCCTACCCCGAACTCCATGTCGAGTTTTTCCTAGCCCCACACTTCCATCGCCAAACAGCGAGGGGGCAGAGTTGCTTTTTCTAGGGACACGTACCTATAGGGATTCGGGTACCGCTGCCAGAAAGCAGCGAACACTTGGTCCCAGGAACTCCGAAGCACGCTCTGGCCCAGGAAATACTTCACCATCGTCCCGGCCAGTGCGGGCTCAGCACCCACGCAGCATCAGGGGCGCGGGGCCCCGGGGCACGCGGAGGCAGGGCCGGGGCTTGGCGTACGCCTGCCAGACTGGAAGCTCAGTTACCACTGTGGCACGCCCAAGCCGCCGCCGCCATGAGTTGTCGGGCCACCCGCCACTTCCGGCGCAGCCGCGCGCACCCACTTCCGGCGCCAGCTCACGTGACCCCCAGGTCCGGCCCTCTCCCCCCTCCCCCCGCGGGAGTCGCGGCGCTGCAGACGGGAGCCAGGTTGGAGGGGCCACTAGGTCGGGTGGGGAATCCGTGCCCTAGCAGCGCCTGAGCCGGGCGGGCGAGAGAGCGACGGAGCAAGCGTTCGAGCTGGGCCGTGGCGTGCGGCCCGGGTCCTGGGCTTTTCCAGGGAGAACAGCTCCCGGTGCCGAAGAACCGGGACAGACGGGGGCGCTGCTGGAGCTTGACCCCGACGCGGTGTCTCGAGTCGTAGGTGGCCGACTGAATCCTGGGCGCTGCCTGCTGGAGCAGAGATCCGGGTTTGCTTCCCGCCCCCGCTCAGGACCCTGACGTGGGTGAGGCAACCCTGGGAGCATGAGCGGGCAGCGCGTGGACGTCAAGGTGGTGATGCTGGGCAAAGAGTACGTGGGCAAGACGAGCCTGGTGGAGCGATACGTGCACGACCGCTTCCTCGTGGGGCCCTATCAGAATGTGAGTGTACCCCGCGGGGCCCAACACGGGTGGGAGGGGGCTAGCTCGCACCCGGGGCCCTGATAGCCTCTCTTTGGTTGCAGACCATCGGGGCCGCCTTCGTGGCCAAGGTGATGTCCGTTGGAGACCGGACGGTGACTTTGGGCATTTGGGTAAGTCCCCTGGGCGAGTAGTTCTGGGAAAACCTGTTTCCTGAGGAGGCTTAGATCCTCCCTATTACTGGCTGACTTGTGCCTTCAGAGGACCTGTCTCTTCTCTAGACCCCAGGTTAAAAATGGTGGTCTGGAGGACGTGGTATTTAGTTGAAGTCTTGAGTAGCTCGTAACCTACTCTAGGGCTGAGCCGTCTCTTGTCCTTTAGGACACAGCAGGCTCTGAGCGCTACGAGGCCATGAGCCGCATCTACTATCGGGGCGCCAAGGCTGCCATCGTCTGCTACGGTAAGGGGTGGGATGGACGGGGGAGGACCCTTGCCTGTTTCTCAAACAAGAGGTGGGTGCTTGGCTGGCCTTAAGAGGCCCGTGATCCTTGTGTTTCCTGTCTCCAATACCAAGACCTCACAGACAGCAGCAGCTTTGAGCGAGCAAAGTTCTGGGTGAAGGAGCTGCGCAACCTAGAAGAGGTAGGTGGCCAGACTTAACCAGAGGACAAGTTCCTGAGGCTCTGGTGGTCTGTGGGCGTGATCCTAACCTTGTTTTCTACTCTAGGGTTGTCAGATCTACCTGTGTGGCACCAAGAGTGATCTGTTGGAGGAAGACAGACGGCGTCGCCGTGTGGACTTCCATGATGTCCAGGACTATGCAGACAGTAGCTGCTCCTCAGCTCCTTGGGGGTGGGGGAGGGAAGTGGCTGCTATGGCATGATCCCTCAGGAAGGCTTTTTCGCCTCCCTAAACCTGCAGGGTCCAGAAGATCCCCTTAACTGCTAGCCTTCCCCTTTGTGTCCACCTGATTTTCAGGTATGAGGCTTTAGTCACTTCTCTTTACAGATATCAATGCTCAGCTCTTTGAAACATCTAGCAAGACAGGCCAGAGTGTGGGTGAGTGCTGTCCTTGGCCTCACAGTAGTAATCGGCAGGGGCACCAGAGGAGGCAGAGAAGGGCCTAGAGGGCTAGGTCACTGGGTGATCCCAGGGCTGCTGGCTTTGGACCCTCACTAGTCATCCTTTTTCCTGCCAGACGAGCTCTTCCAGAAAGTGGCAGAGGATTACATCAGTGTGGCCGCCTTCCAGGTGATGACAGGTGTGTACTTCCCCAGCCTCTCTGGAGACCTCCTCTAGGCTCACAGCATCTGGCCTACTCCACAAGTTACCTGATCCCCCAACACAAGGGTGCTGAGCTGCCACCTCTCTCTTTGACAGAGGACAAAGGTGTGGACCTGAGCCAGAAGGCAAACCCCTACTTCTACAGCTGTTGTCATCACTAAGTCACCACACTCACCTGGTCTGGGAGAATTAAAGGAATTCCCCCAGAGGGGCTGGACCTAGCTCGTCTGGGCTTGGGTGGTCAAACGTCTAAGCTACCCCAGGTCCCCATGGCAACAGAGGTGACACCTGCCTGTGTTGGCCCATGGAATGGAGGCAGTATTGGGCTGACTGATGGGCATGAGGACGGTTAAGGGCTGATTTGGACCCCAGGCTTCTGCCCTGGACAGCACTTTTGTCTGCAGATTAAGTGACTTCTGATTTGTAAATAAAATCAATGCACTGTGAATCACACTCAGCCCCTTTCCCTGTTGTATGAATTGGGTGTCAAGACACCTAGTTCTTTCGGGGGCCACCTGGCTGGCCTCACTTCCTATAGTAAGGCTCCTCCCAGCTCTTAAATTTTCTGAGGGCCTTTCTCTGTTTTTTAGTAAGAGACCAAGATAGGGTTAGACACTGGGGTTGGGATATTGCAAAGCTCCTAATTCCTTTTTGGTGCTGAGAGAAGCAGACAAACATTCAGGTGGTATCCAGCGATCAAAGACTCAAGCACTGCTACCTTAGACTGGCTCTACCACTACTACTCTGTCATGTCTAGGTTCATAAGTGATGTCTGTGGCTCACTCAGATCCTAAGCTTCCCAGCAACATCCTACAATGTTTTTTAATGGTAGAAAAATCAGGTTTTGCCAGACAGAAAAGGCCTTAGGGAGTCAGACTGGGATCCATTTCAGCTGCTAACTTAGAGAAGGGACTTAGGCTTGGCCTGAGTTTCTCATCTGCAAAATGAAGTGACAGCTACCTACCTTAGGTGAAAAGAACTCCAGGACTAAATGCTTGTTTTACCACACTCGTCCCTGGAGTGCTTTTTGCTGAAGGGGCAGAAAGAGACTCAAAAGGTTCCTCCTAAGTGTATTTCTGGGCTGTGGAAGTCCAACTATTTCCTAAATATCAGGTGTTCCTGCAGGCAGGGCTGACATGTTCAACCAAAGGAAGCATGTGTAGCCCTTCCAGTAATGTGGCTTGGCCCCTTTACCTCTGATTCCCCACCTTAGGCCTGAGCCAGTTCTTCTCACAGTGCCCAGCACCTATTTGCCCCTGAAGCATGAAAAATTTGGCCAAGATGGTCAGACTCACACTCAGAAAATGCTTTTGGTTCCATTTCCTTTTTAAAAACCAATTCCTCAAAATACCCTTCCTTCACTGGTGATGGAGGCTTCCTGTATATGAGCTAAAACAGACACCAAGAGGAGTGAAAGACATTCTGACAGCTGGTGGCTACTGGAAGGAAACCCACACCACTCACTTGAGGTGCCTGGGTGAAGGGCTCAGCTCCACCATGGCCCCACCTGGGAACTATCTAGGGCTGGCTTTTGCTCTTATCCCAAGCCCATCCTCCCTCCTATTAAGCTACATGTCCCACGGACAACAAAACAAAACACAGGGCAAGGGCCATTAAGAGTAAAGTTACACTTTACTTTACAGTAATTTTTTTTCTATATACAAAGAATTACAGTACATGTTTATGGGGCTCCTAGCACAGGGCTCCCTTCTTTTTCACTAGGAGTTTCACTTACAGCTGACAATGTATAGGGGGGGAGGGGGAGGGCAAAAAAAACCCAAAACAGTGATGGACCTCAGCTGACACCCCCCACCCCTTTCTTAAAAATATAAAGATAGGTTTCTATTGTCAGCTTGTTTCTTTGCCAAGACTCACAAAGCTGCTCTTCCATGAGCTCCTCTGTGCTGCACTCACCCATCTTCAACACACTCTCACCGACATGCACACACAGGCAGCACCCACCTCAGACCTGGGGACCACCTGTTCTCTGCCCCTACCCTGGAAGTCTAAAGCACCAGAATCATTCAGTTCTGCATCTATTCCCTGGGCTCACCTGTCCAAGGCTCTGCTCAGCTTCCAGGGTGCTGTATGTATCTGAAGCCCCTCCACAGCCTGTGTTAAGTCATGGGAAAGCAGCTCTAGAAAAGGGACCACGTAAGAATGTAATGTTTTTTGCTTATGTTGGTAGGAAACATTTCTTCCCAGGCTGTAGGTTCTAATTCAAATAAACTCCACTTCCTTAAGAAATACTACCCCTAATCTTCATAAGCAAGAGAAGTGCTCCCATGAGAATGGAAGAGGTAGAGAGGGGCAGAGAGGAGACCCCACACCAAGAGTTCTCTACCAACATGTTACAGGCAGTGGATGGAGCCTATGGGCAAGGCAATAGCAGCCCTGAGAAAAACTCAATGACCACCTGCATCTGGATACAGCATCTCTTCCACTGGACTGTGCTGTACCACTCCCAGGTCAGGTGCAGGCTTCCTTAGGCTCTGCCTTCTTCTCTAATACAGCCTCAAAGAAAACATTCTACATAAAATCTCTTCCTTCCGAACAAGAACCTGGGTTTCTCAAGTTGCCAGTCCCTCAACCCTTGGCAGTGCTTATTTATACCAGGAGATTAGCACCATCATTACTTTTTTTGTGTATACAAAGCAATTATCTATTATTTCAATTTATACTACAGCAACCTCTGGCCCTGCCGCACTGGCCCTAGGAAGCTCAGCTGAGAGCTAACTGGCCATAGCCAATGAGCCTCATGGAGCAGCTACCTAGCTCTAACTGATCTGGAATGTCTAACACACGGTACAGCCCAAACATCATTCAGCAGGAAAAGGGGCTTATGGCAGCTCTTTCCCTGCCAAGCTCTCAGAAAGGTTGGGTAGGACACACGGCCACTCTGACCTCCTGGCTGACAAAATCCCCCCAAAAAGCCTTAAGAGAAAACCTGCTTTATAGGAGCTGAAGGCAAAAATCCATCCATGTTCAGTGCTCTCCTGATTCCTCTCCACAGGGGAAGCTGCCAGGACCAGACTTCCTGCCACTCTGTTCACACAATGCAACCTGGGAGTCCAGCTCCAGTGAGTAGATGCTGCCGAGCCTGGGAAAGGATCACTGATGCCCTTTGTGCCCTGACTGTAGTGTGGGGGTAAAGGATGTAAAAAATAAATTATTTATATCAATGATAAAACTGTAGATTTGGTAGTTGTTCAGAAGATCAACAGTGATTTATATCATCTCAAACTCAGTAACTTCAGGGGGGAGCAGACATTTAAAACCTTGATGCTTTTGTAGCAATGACAGCTACTTTGCTATTAGAATGGTTTAGCTCCAGCAGAAGCAAATGAGGCTTTGAGTTGTTTCCCTAATTTTTTTCTGGCTTAACAGGGCTAGGAGAGGTATTGATTCTTTAGCCACTTGTGGGAGCTATAGCTTCCTCTTGGAAAGGCTCCCTGGGGATATGGCTTAGAGGCAGACTCTCTTTTGAGACAGACACCAAACCATCCTGTATAAAGATCAGGAGTTTGTAAGAAAGGATTTCCTTTTAACTGCCAATTCACAACCCCTGGAGAAAAAAATCTCATAAATAGCTCCAGGAGAGTCCCCAAGGCTGGCGAGGCCACTCCCTTCCTACCTTACCTTCAAACTAGTCTCACTTCCCAATAGCCCTTCCGACTCTGCTTCTAACTGTATGGTGACTGCTTTCTTGTTAACACCTTGTATCAGATGCTGCGCTATCAGTGGACTGATAATTGAATTTCTAGTTTCCATTCAACCTGAGAGTGTCTTTCAATGGCCTTCACGGAAGCCTGGCTGTCCAACCATTTAGATAGAAAACTGCCTGTCTCCCACCCCAAATGCTCAGGTAGGTCTGGAAGGAAATTTCCAGTGAATGGTGAAGAATGGAAAGAATCAAAACAAAACCACGAAGTGGCCAATCATGGCCCACTGTTCCCTCACTTCTTCCTGTCCTGTGAGACATATCTAGAGCGTCTATCAAGTCAATTATCTACCAAAGCCTACTTTAGAGAAGCTAGTTCAAGATCAAACTTCTCCACTTAAAAAATTGTACATAGCCTGCACACACATTCCCCCCGCCACACACACACCCCGCAAAAAAATTCACAGTTTATTTCATGAAACAAAGAGCTACGGTAATTTAACACACAACATAGTGAAAGGAGATTCTGACAATGCAGTGCGGATATCTTTTTCTGATCACAACTAGAGATGACAGGAGAGAAAAGGGCACAGGACTGGCACCAAGCAAACCCTACTCATACAACCTAAGAGATTAGGGAAAGGGTCCTACTAGCTGCAGTTATATACTTAATATTCTCACACATGATAAATACTTAATATAATGAACTTTATGTTCTGGGTGGGGTTCTTTAAAAATATCTTTTCCATGGTTTAAAATTTTTTAAAAAAGAAAATAAGATGCTTTGTTTTCTCTTCCTTTTGAACAAAGAGCTTTCCCTCTCTGATGATGTGGGAAGAGAGGATGAAAGGGGAGAACTAGGCAGATGGAATTCACAGAGGAGATTCCGAGGTCTAAGTGAGATGCAGGGATAGGCCCCTAAGCTCAGGGCATCCTGTCCAGCCTCATGCCTCTGCCTGAGTTCAAGTGTCTCAACCCGAGACAGACTTTGGGAAATAAAAGCAAATTTTCTTTTAATTTATATATAAAGCGCAAATGCTTCCATATAACTATTGTTCCCTCCTTAGAAGTGATGAGAATAGCCTCAATAGGAACTTGGGAGGAGGAAATTGGGACAAAATATAGACTCCTGTTGAGGGTGTAAAAGCCATAACAGAGACAGAATGGCCAGGAGACACTTGGGCCAGGAGATGGCCTGTTGGCTAAAGCTGTTGGCAAAGTTGGCAAAGGAGAGAGGTAAACACGTTTGGTCTAGGGACAAAGGAGGAGTGGGTGAATGGGAAGGAACACATTTGGTCTAGGGACAAAGGAGGAGTGGGTGAATGGGAAGGAACTGGCCAAACAGCACTTCCTGTTGGCAGTTGATGAGCTGGGTGAACGGTAGGGCAGGGTAGCACCAACAGATTTCCCAGCCCTGGGGCCCCAGCTCAGGGCAGCAGTAACAGATAATCAGCAGTTATGAGGAGTCATCTCTTAGACTAGACATTGGTCTAAATGCCACATCTTGCCAGTTATAGGGGAAGGGTTCTTGTTTGTTTTTGAGCTATGTCAGTGGGCAGGCACTCTCCATACAGAGCACAGCAATTCCCAGGAAGAGGGCAGCAGAATCCACTAGCGAAGAAGAGGACTCCATCCATTCAGGTAGGAGGGTAAAGTGTCAGAAGAGAAGATCTTCCATCAGGATCTGGCACTCTACCTGAGCTGGTGGTGGATCTAGCCCAGAGCTTGCCAGTGATTCTCTACAGCCTTTGCCCGAGACTCTGAAATCTGAAAGCACCTGTGTTTGGGGGGTAGGCATGGGGTGGATTAATGTAAAAAGAAGAAAACTGGTAGGAAAGAAAGATAAGCTTGCCAAATGCCTCCTTACACTGTGGGAAAGCTATGTCCTTGTAGAGCCCAACCCACACAATGAGCTGTTCCACCTAGGACCGATCTTCAAACTCCACAGACCTGACAGAAGCAGCAGTGGCTGCACAGCCAATAGCCCCACTTGGCCTCAATACAACCTCCTCCCACCCAGAGAGGAGACCTACACATTGAGGGTGCATGCACACCCAATCAACAGACACTTTTAACACAACCACTTTTGGGGCCACAAAGGACATTACAAAATAGGTCTGGAGTGCCAGGCCCCCTCAGAACTTCCGTTACTTCCTGGTCAAGGGTTCTTGAAAACAGCCTGGGACCCCAAGCAGGCATGTTAGGCTCACAGGGATCAGATCTTATCTATCACCCGTCAGTGACTAGTGCCTGGCTTAGCACTTGTGAATGCTCAAGAAATCACCACTGACATGAATGCATATCAGTTCCTCCCAAGGGTTCATCAGGTACACTCAGTGGGGCGCTCTGAAGGGCTCGAGAAATAGCTTTGAGAGCCCCCTCTACCTTCCAACCTGAACAGTGGAATTGAATCCCATGCTTGACTCCAGAGTGGACTTTTTATTTCAAGTTACCACATGTAAAGATTGGGGGAAAGATACCCAAGTCTGTCTCCCTCCTTGGCTGGGGGCCACTTGGATTTCCATACATGGTTCACACCACCACAAGCCCCCACTGGCTAATGTCAGAAGGGTTCTGAGTGTTGGAATATAAGGAAAGAGTAACAGTGGAAAAGTGTTGGGGTCTGTTTCTTAAGGGGGGGGGTGGGGAAGAAAGATGATTTCCCTTCCCCAAGAACCCTGGGGGGGCAGCTGGTCTGGTCATGTGGCATTTACTGGTGTTATTTCTGTTCTGACTCTGCACACTTGTGACTGGAAGGAGCCTGGTTAAAAGCTGGAAGTGTATTTTGCTCTGGCTTAGGGTCTTGCCCTCTTCCAAGAGACCAACAAGTCTGTGCTAATGTCTGTGCACTCCCAGATGACCAGCAAGACTGTGCTAGTGTCTGTCCAGCAACCATGGGCCAAAGCCCTGGCCCTGGTGAGGCCTTTCCCAGGGCCCAAGGATTCTGTTCTGTGGTTGCCAACTTCTCTTCAGTGGAAAGGCAGGGTGGGGCCTTCCCAAGAGGCCTGAAGGAGTGCCCACTCTTGGCAGCAAGTCCAGGTAGTTGCTGGCTTCTGGCTATCTGCTTCACGTGCTTCACCAGGCCTGGTACTTGGCTGGGAGGCCCTAGGGTCTGCTCCACCCCTGCAGGTGCTCTTCCTGAGGCCTGGGTTGCTGGCTCATATAAAAAAGCCTTGGCAGGGGGTTGAGAAAGAAGTCTGGCCTGTGTAAGTGATTTAACAGCTTGCCAGGGGTGCTCCGAAGGGGCCACTGCTTTCCCGTGTGGCTGAAGGACAGGATCTGACACACAAGGTCTCTCAACAGCTCGTGGCATCTGCCCCAGACCTTTGCTGGCAGTCCAGGAGCTTGACTCCAGAGCTGGCATCTTCTCATCAGTCTGTGGTGTGATTTCATGAGGAGAAACTATCAGCTCCTTCTGGCGAGGAGTTAGGTCTATGAGATCCATCACCAAAGCAGCTCTATTTTTTGATTGAGTATTCTGGTCCACGGGCCTCAGCGCTTTTTCTTTAGCTACCAGGGTCTGGACCACAGCTGACAGTACTTTGTCAGGAGGTGGGAGTCTCTGGGACAAAGAGGCATAGGATTTGTCTGGGGGCCTGTCTGAACTCTGGGGTTTGGGACTGCTGGTGACTAGCAGTCTGTCTGGTGGTGGAAGTCTCAGGCCAGTGGGGACTGGAGTTTTCTCCAATGACTGGGGCCTTGGGCTGGCAGCACCTATGGATTTATCCAGCCTCAGGTCAGTTGTCCCCAGAGGTCTTTCCAATGGCTGGGACCTGACTGAGGGTGAGGAGCTTGGGTTGGTCACTGGACAGGGTTTGTCAGATAGCTGGGGTCTTGGTCCTGCCATTGCAGGTGGTCTGTTCAATGGCTTCTGGCTGGATACCAAGGATTGAGGTTTGGTCCCTGACCCAGCAAGGTCCCTAACCCGATCTACAGGCTGGGGCCTGGAGTCAGTTCTGTCAGGAGGTCTTTCAGGCAACAGTGGTCTCTGACAAGTCCCTGCCACAGCTTTTTTGGACAGTGACAGCATCTGGTTGGTGTCAGCAGGCAGCTTATCCAACATCTTGGGCCCCTGAGCAAGCACTCCTGATGAATGCTCTGCCAGGTGAGTGCTTGGGCCTGGAGGCAGCGGAACTGGAGGAGGCACATACTCACGAATCTCCCCAGGTTCCAGAGGGTTAGGCCCACAGGGGTCATGCTCAGTACAAGACAATCGCCCATCCAGTTTGGAGATGAAGAGCATTCCTTCCCGATGCTGCTTACAAAAGGAGCTGGGACACATCTCACAGAAGGACGCTGCTTCCTTCCCACAGATGTCACACTGATGCCAAGGACACTCCCATTTCCCTGAAAACACAGATGTGAAACAAAAGCTTATTTAGTAAAATAACAGATGCATATGAGATTGGCCATGGCTCTGGGAATGGATCAAAGAAGTGATTTCAAACTGCCACCTTTTGCAGAGAGCTCATGCCACTTGCCTGACAACTCCCTTGCCCCAGAATGTGCTTTTTCTAGTGTACAACAAATACAAATAAACAGCTAAGTATGAAGTAGCAACTGAATATCAACTAAATTTTTGGACAGGATTAATTCCTTGTTTTTTGCAACTATTCCAACAAGGTGGCGGTGGCGGTGGGGGGGACGGACCAACCCAGAGTTCCCCACAGATGAAATGACAAGATATTACTTTCACAGTTTTATACACTCCATTTGTCCTATACAGCCTCAAATATTCAATTCTCAAGAGGAAATCTCAGCTATTGAAACTCCTGCTTATGTGGTTATTAGTAGGAGTAGGGAACAGATATACAAATGCAAAAATGGAAGCAGACTCACCTTTGCTCAATTTTAAGGTTTGAAACCAGTAAAAACTTTACCTGTTGTTCACCAAGAATAAGTGGAAAAGACCCAAAGCTAACCTGAGCTGCTAATCTATTTGCCTCCATTTCATGACACCTTAAAGTCTGCCATGGATAGTGTTTCCACTCTGGCTCCTTCTAAACTATACTAGACTTCATTTTTAGCTCATAGGCAGAATTGGTCCTATCACATCCTGTGCCAGCTATAGCCCTGAGTAACTGGATCTCAAACAATTCCCCATTTCCACTTCCTGGCATTGAGAGGTCAATGTTGTGGCTTTGCCCCCACACTAACCTTAGTTTCTATTATTTCATTACTCAGACAACTACATATTGTAGGAAAGCTAATGAAGGGACAAACTCCTTACACTCCCACCCTCTTTCTGCAATTTCTGGAAGCAGGCCATTAGTAAGCCTGTAACAGGCTCTCTACCTGTTTCACACCACTGTCATTTAAAATAAAGGAATATCCAATCTCTATAAACTCCTCTAACCCCAAATCACCACCCAAAGGTTAGTGACTTCTCCAAACAAATTCCTACCCTAACCAGCTTTCTTACTTGTTAGCTGATACAACTGCCTCTCCTTTTGGAGGGGACTAAAAAGGTATCCATCCACCTTACTGATCAGAATGACCTCAAGCTCCACTCTGTCTCAATCTCTCTTTCTTTAGAAAGGGAACATGATTTAATGGCCTTGCAGTCAGAAAACCTGGCTTTCAATCCAGCTCCTCCACCATCTGTATGCTCTAATGTGACAAATCATCTCACCAAACTTGACTCTGCTTCCTCATCTGCATCATGGGAAGGTGAAAAGGTCTCATCTTATGGGTTGCTGGGAGGATAAAATAACATAACATAAATGTAAATAAAGTGCTTAACACACAGTGAGTGAGTTTGTCCCTTCTCTATAACCTAGGATTCTAGATGTTTGTTGTCATTTTTTTCTATGAGAACATGGACTGTACCCCCTTCAACACTACACATGCAAAGAAAAAAAGGGCTCTGTATTCTGACAGAAAACAAGGAGCACTTCTGGTGGATTTTGCACCAACCTGCCGGTCGCTTGGTTAGATTGAGACAGTCTGCATGGTAAACTTTTGGGCAGCCTGGCTTCTTACAGGAGACAAGCTGGCCAGCATCCCCACAGCTGAAACACTCATCCTCGCGCTCCTTTGTGATTTCACCCTGGGTCCTGCGCTTCCCCTGTTGCTTCTTCTTGAATTTCTTTGACTTTTCTTCCGTGGCAATTGGTTGATTCTAGAGGTCAGATATTGAGCAGTCAGCATTCTGTAGACACATTAGTTGTATGATCTTGACCAGGTTAACTATCCTCTCTGAGCCTCAGTCTCTCCTCTGGGAAGAGACAGTCCTCATAGACTGTTGTAAAGAAAAGAAAATGCAGGAAAGGCACCTGGCACGCACATCATAGGTACCCAAGAAATGACTGAACTGTAACTTTATTATCAACTACTCCTGCCACATGAATGAAAGAAAAGAGAAACATCTTTCTTTTTGTTTAAACTCAAAGCTGGTGTTAAAGATCACACTTTTTTAAGTTTTATTTTTATGTTTGTCTAACTTCCAAACTAAGGAAGACTTCTTTTGGTGTGTGCACACACATTTCTTACTCTACTCAACAAACCTTCACTGAGCACTTAGTATGAGCCACATACTAAGAAGACACAGAAAATGAATTCTTGGTCCTTGCTGTCCACAAGCTATGTATGCATTTTTATCTAAGTCAAATTAAGTTCATGCCCGACCTCTCCCCAAGACAGACTCTGGTGCAGCATCTGTGCTCCCTGTAGCACACACTTGTTCACCAAACCCCATGGTTTTCATCACATTATTTATCTTGGCCTAGAAAACATCCAGAACCAATCTGATTTATTACTAGCCTACAGTGATATCCCATTTCTAAACTTACACTAATCAAATTTCTCTCTGATTCACGTGTGAAATGCTATGTAGACCTTAAAGATGCAGAAACTGACATCCCCAGTAAATGTAACACCATTAAACTTGGTTTAAACTCAGTTACTATTTTAATTAATATGGAATAAGTCAACTTGACATCTTTAGGAACAAGACCATTTAACCAACCAACTAAACAAAAACCAAAACAAAACCCAATAAAATATAAAGATAATTTTCCTTATTTAATAAAAATGAGAATAATTAGTGGGTGTTTGTCATCTTTATGTGCTATTGCTCAAAATCATTATCTTCTTTAGTTACTGGTTTTTATGATAGCTTTCAATTTTCAGTTCTTAATGCCTACTTCATAAATCAAAAAAGCATAATGGGAAGTAACCAATTGGAGTCATTCTGTAGTCTACTTTGCATCAAAATTAAACTTCAATTTTCAGTATGGTATGCTGTTACTTAAGATACAGAACTCTGGATACATCCAGATGTTCATCTATTATGGTCCACCCATTATATAAAAAATTTAACAGTCACTAGAAATGGCTAAGAAGACTATGTAAAAGCAAGGGGAATTTTTTAATAGTAATTTAAAAAGCAGGATATAAACTTATAAACAAGTCTTAACAGTTATTGAATTGTAATTCAGTTAGAGTACACATAAATACCCAGGAAGTAAGACACAACAATGTTTATACTTTGTTACAATGGTAAGTTTAAGAGTCCTATGTTTATCTACATTTAGAATCTTAACTTCACCATCAGATTCTTTGATATCTTTAAAAAGACAGACACAGGCAGACAGAGACAAAGATATCAAGAATTTAAGTAGCTTAATTAGGAAATATGATCAAGATTAGCTGAGACCAATAAAGACATAGAAATAACCTACTTTACAGATTCATCTTTCACAGCTTTTTTTTTAGCTAGAAAGGCATCATCAGTTAGAAGTCAGATTGCTCATAACACTTCAACAATACCAAAGATCCTCTCTTGTTTGACCAAACTGAGCATCAGAATATGAATGTACAATGTCATTATTTCAAAGAGACATCTTCTTAAAGATTCTGCCATGCCACTGGTTAGGTAGGGAGGACCACATCATTATTCCCGATGCAAACGTTTGGAAGGTACCTTTGGCCTTACACCCAAAAAGCCACTGCAGTTCGGGGCTCCACATTTGCAAACGGTCTTTCCATTCCCAAGACATTCTAGGTTGTAGTTGAAGGTAAGTTCAGTGCCTGCATAAGAGACCATGGAAATATCACTATCTATGGTTTTATTTACATTTTTTTCTGTATCAATCACAAAGGATACTTGACTTCCAAGAGAACAGATTAATTTTTAAAAAAGGATAAAATCAATTTATTAACACTAACACCACCATATGAATAAGATATTAATATTAATAAATTCTAATCCTATGACATTACTAATCAGCTAATACAACTTAGTGACCAATAAACTTAAATGGTTTAACACATAATATTTAAAATAACTTTTACTATAGAGTTGTTAATCGCAAATTGTTTTTTGTTTTCTAACCATTCAGATTGAAAATATATAAACTCACTACCAAAAACAAACCAACAGCCTGTACAACAACATGCTGGGCACTGGGAACACAGGTATGAAGAAAATATATTGGTCTGTGCCAAAGAGAGCAAATCTACCTTGGGAGCGTTCAAGAGAAACATCTCCATACAGAGTAATACTAGAGAACTTTAGACCACAGACCTAAGCCCTGGCTTTACACCCCAGTTACATCATCATCTAGCTGGGGGAGCTGAGCCCTGAGTACATTTGTTAAATGGAGAAGTAACAATCTCATAAACTTATTGAGTAAATATCATAATGCACACAGCAGTGATTTGTAAACATAAAAGAAGATGTGTAGACTTCACGTACAAAATGTCTTTCTGTCAAAAGAGCATTTAATCAAAACTGAAAGAGCAAATGAAACACACAAACACTCACACTCAAAGCATGTTAGGGAAGGCCTAACAAATATAAGAATTTTATATATGTATACAAAGAGGTTGTCTGTGGTTGGGCATAATGCTTATTTACTATTAATGTATAAAGTGACATTTGTTCAAACTGTCAAGTCTTAAGATTCCCATTACAGACTGACCTATCATCTATCAGTGAGATAAATTAATATATATAGTTTTCATCTAATGTTGGGAATAGATTGTTTCTTGAGCAAATTATAAAGCAGCTGGCTTAATTCAGGGGTCCAAGTGGTATGAATACTAGCACCACTCAAGCAAGGGCTGGTGAGAGGCTCACAACCACAAGCAGCTTGCAGGAACCGAAACTGACCAAGGTAACAACAGCAAGTTACATCTTCTCTCTCATGCCCATTGTGAACTTAAAAGATTGATGATGGGTAATTCTACTCACTATTCCTCTTATTAAACAAACTTTTGAGGGTATAAATGAAATTTCATAAATTTAATGTGCTTATAATGCAACTCAGCCATATACACAAGTATAAGACAGCAGGACACCTGACAGAACCTGCTGCTCACTAAGCATCCACTATGTAAACATAACCACACAAGGGGATAAATCAGAAGGTATCTGTTGTGCATAAAGTCTCACACCATCCTAGAAAAGAGTCTAGTATACAATAATCCTTGAGAGGTCTACACTTACTGGGGAAGGCAAAGGGCACCAGAGAGGATATAAACAAGGAATGAGTATGACATATGTGGGAGAAAGTAATAGGTATGTGAAAAGCCCAGGCAGATGGATGAGTAAGGAGGAGAGGCAAGCTGAAAATTCTCATTTCACCTGCCAAGGTCACAGCTCCTACAGACACTCCCCATGTCACTAAACATTCTGTCTCATTTTACCCGTCCCACACATGCAGACTGAAAATTAACTCATGATAAAAATATCTGTGAATTCCTACACCAAGCTACTTGAGCTGAGTGTGAGAGGAAAGAAGAGAAATTTGTAGCTAGCAATGGTAGAGGAAGGCCAGCCTCATGGACACAGACTTAAGTTCTAAGTGCAAGTGTAGTGCTGAAAGCAGTCAGGAGATATATAAGAACTGAAATTATATGACTAACATTTGAGTAATTAATATAGAAGAAACTCACACCGCTGGTTGTTGGTGAAAAAAATGTAAAAAAGAATGAGAAAAGTGTTAGACCCAGAACCCAAGTAGTGCAAGTATAACACCACATATATTACAGCACCTCTGAAAGGATCAAATGAGATAATATGTTTGGAACAATGTCTGGCATCCAATAAATAGCTCTTATAGCATTCACTTGATGATTCTTGGTATAAAACAGAAATCTACCCGATCTACTCCGAAGCCATCCATTCCAAAAACTTGATACAAGTTAGCATTTTAAAAATTAGTATCAATTAATTCAGTGGAACACAGTACACGGTGATGCTCAATTGTGTACCTTCATCACTTAATACTTTGTGTGAAACAATGCAAAACAAGAGAAAGGAACTAGTGGTTAACTTATAAAATATGGAAATTATTAGAATGATTAAAATTCTGAAAAGCCTAAGAAGACTACTGGATAGTATATTTTACTAGGAGAGAAAATGACATACTGGGTGTAGTGTCCACAAATTAAAAAAAAAAAAAAAGGCAACAGACCAAAAGCTGACCAAACTGCCCTTTATTTCATCTTGATTGATGCTTCCTGAGATAAAACGACGACTGGGCAAAGGAGACCTTTGATCTTCCAGAATGTTCATATGGGATTTCTGCTCAACATAACTGGACTATGCTATTGCCAATTACAAATTACCTAGGCCAGTTCCATCTTAGTTTGAGTATAGGAGAGTGATCTTTCAATGTCTTGCTCACGTCCCTGCAAAACTCATTTTGAAAAATCATGTACTGCCTTGCTGACCAAATTCAGACTTCATATATGTCTAAATATTTTTTAAATCAATTTAAAATTTAGAGGGTCTCATATGTATAAACATATGTGCTTAAAATAATTTCATCAAAACCATAACGCTACAGATTAAGCTCCTTTAACTTATGGAAAATAATCATTATATAACTACCTCTACCTTCTTGGCCATATCAAATTCACTTTCAAGATGTCTTAACATTGTCTTGGTTACAAATACCTCACTTCTGCACTCTTAATTCTTAGAAACATAGGCACTGAGGCAGGTCTTAGCAGAACTATACATTCTCCAAATGTCCAGTTCTTTGGCATCCCAGATGTGAGGGGTTTCTGTTTTTTTTTAAAGTAACCTTTGGCTCACAAACCATACAATCTGGATGGGTGAGAGATGATCTCTGATTTATAAAGTGGGTTAAGTGTCAACTGTGAAAGGGATGGTAAGAAAGGAGATCTGGACTGCTGGTGCTTTCTAAGCCAGACCAATTCAGGGAGTTCATGTAAAAGTTATGGAAAAGGTCTGGAAATTTATTCCTTTAAGACCATCCATGCCCAGATCCTTAAGACATTATGCTAAGTGAATTGAGTCAGTAACAAAAGGACAAATATTGTATGATTCCATTTATATGCGCTTCTTAGAATAATCAAAATCATAGAGACAGAAAGTAGAATGATGGTTGCCAGGGGCTGGAGAGGGGGTCAGGAGGAGTAATGGGGATAGAGTTTCACTTGGGAAAGATGAAAAGAAGTATGGAGACGGATGGAGGCGATGGATGCACAACAATGTGAATGGACTTAAATACCCAGAAATGTACACTTAAAAATGGCTAAAATGATAAATTTTATGTTATATGTATTTTACCATATCACCACCAACAACAAAAAATATTCCATGCCAACTACCACCTGGGAAGTCTTCTATGTATCCTCAGGAGTTTGCAAAGCTCATTTTGAATTAAAGGACACATGGGATTTTTTAAGATGATAAAATCTGAAGTTCTGGTCTCAGCTCCAAAATCCTTCAATAAGTCTTACCTGCTTTAATGTCACTCAGGGCAAAAAGGCCAACACGGGTATCTCCATTCACAGACCACTTTTGTGTTTCACAGTTGGGTTGGCAGCAATGGTTCATGAAACGTGCATAGTTTCCTTTGGGACCAGCATCAATGATCCGGTCCTAGAATCCCAAGAGATACTGCTTATCAGATACTTCTTAAGTATTCTAACGATAAGTGTTTTCTCTAAGTGTGGTCCCTGAAACCAGCACTAGTATCAGCATTTGGAAATATGCTAGAAATGCAAATTCTTGGGTTGCACTTCAGATATACTAAAGAAGAAACTCTGAATTCTGTACATCTGTGTTATAACAAGCACACTAAGGTGATTCTGATACATGCTGAAGTTTGAGGACTACTGCCCTAGAAGCAGCAACTTGACTCATTCTTCTTAATTAGGTAGTCCTAAACCCTGGCTATACATTAGAAATCACCTAAGGAGATTTTAATACTGATACCAAGACACCACTCCAAATGAGCATCAGAATATCTGGGGGTGAAGACCTTACAAACCATGAGGGTACAACTTGATCAATGTTCACAAAGTTTCATACTAGGAAAGGGTTCTATTATGTTAGTGAAAGAAAAAAGAAAGTAGCAGAACCTAATATTCACATACAAAGGAGAATCTTTTGATGATATTCAGAAGATGAACACATTAGGATGGATGCTGAAATTAGGAATAAGTATCAAACATAATTCTAGACACTAATGAAATGAAACTCACCAGAGAATTCCTATAATTGGAAAGGTGACTTGGGTTCATAAACTGAGTTTCATAATCAATTTACATGATATTCTCAATGCACTATTAAGTATTAACAAATCTGTTTCTCAATCTATAAAAGGGTAAAAGAATGATTATTTTTCTGGCTTTAAGTTTTAATCCTATAGGAACAATACTAAAAGGATATTATCCCCAACTTATAAAGGACAGTTCAAAAAGAATGTTAAAAGCAACTTTACTGCTTTTGGCCATCAGTGCATAGCCCAGAGATGAGCAAACCTACCTACCTACTCCAGAATCCTCATCAAGCAATCCCTGTGAACATGAGGGAAAGACTACTTTGGGCAGTACGTAACACGCCTAAAAAAACACTAATTGCACAATCTTACAACAATGGAAAAAACATTTTCTATTACTTACTTTGTCTAAGGTGAGCATATAAAAATTAGTGATATCATGTTCTTGGGCGTGACGGATTCGAGCTCTGCACTCCTCTTCATCTATTAGCTCTCCCACATACTCATTCACAAATTCACCCTAAAAGAAGAAATAACTCTTGACTTAGTGGCAAAAAGCACAATTGTGTTCACAGGTACACCTTATTTTTAAAGAAATAATGAAGTTAACAAAATCTCCAAAGCAGTCGATGTACATGTGAGTTGTCACTTTAACAAAGGTTTATCAAGAAACATTAACATAAATATGATACTTCAATTACTGACAATGAGAACTACCTCCCAGGTCCTACCGCTGCCACCAGGAGAAAGACTGGAATGCACAGGACACTGAAGACCAACAAAAATGAAAGTAAACTAAGGCTCTGTTGTAATGGTGGTAATGGATAATTGTTCCCTTTGCCCACAAAAGAACCTAAAAGTCAGTTTCCCTAAACTATGTTCCTTTTCCTTGCCTTCTGCCCTTCCACAATTCACACCACTGCCCCCGACTCCCTACACTACAATCAATCTGGTTTTCACTCATGTTGTCCCCTTACCTGCAACACTTTAATACTCAACTGGCCTAACTGACAACTACTTATCTTTCAAGTCTCAACTTGAAAATATTCTCAGAGATCAAACTATTTTCAGGTCCTTTGCCACATGCCTCCAAAACCCCGTGCTTCCACACTGTGTGATTACTTGTTCAATGTCTCTCCCTCCCTAGTATGTAAACTTTATGAAAGCACAGACCATGTCTCTTTTACTGATCCCTGCGTCTGCAACACAACACTCAGCACATAGCAGGTATCTATGAGCTACACAGCAAATGACTAAACAGGCCAACCCCTATTTACTTCCTTTCCTAGAAACAAACTTCAGTAAAAATCTTCAGAAAGTATAGCCAGAGTAAGGTTTAATAAAATGTCAAATAAGATTTATTCTATACAGAGACTGTACAGTAGTATCTATTTATTAGAAACTTGCAAATCTTCCCAAATTTGAAGTTGAAGATGTTATTGCATTTTCACTAGAGAAAGCCAAATCCTCTTCTCCTTCATGTCCCATGAACCCAAACTTACTTTCCCACAGTAAAAACGGATTAGTAAGTGACTAACATCTCTGTATCACACACTCCCTATCCTCTCCCCTAACAAGAGGTTCTGGAATTTCCACAAAAGCAAATGAGGCCATGCTATCTATGAATGTCTCTCCTTTTATCATCCTCACACACAATGAACTAAGGATTTTAGAGATAAAGGAGACTACTCTCAAGCCTCTGAATTCTGGAAGGATTAATAAGGTTAACCCCTATATCATTTTCCTCTATGATTTATTTTCTCATATTCATTAAGAATTACTCATATTAAGCAATTGCAAAAAAGAAAAAAAATTTTCAAATTAAGAAAAGTTTTCACCTTTTTAATATCTGTTTTTGTCCGGAGACCCCAGCCCCTCTGTAACGTGCGAAAAATTTCGACCTCTGGATACTGGCGTTTAGTGAAGCACTGGTTTTGGCACCGCCCTCCAGCAGGACATACTGTGGGGTGGCACTCATAGAGCAGCATGCGGTTGATGCACTCAGAGTCTATCCCACAGGGGTTCTCATCAGTAGCTTTACAGTTGCAACGGGGAATTTCAGACAAGTCTGCAGTGAAGATCTGTACTCTGCCAATAGGGCGATTCACCTGGAGAAGAAACATATAATAATATAGTATAACAGGCAAGTCAACAAGAGATAATTCAGAACCTTCCATAAGAGGCAGATTTCCTTCCCTTAAAGTTGCATGCCACATTTTCCATGATTTTGAACTATCAAGATTTAGCTGCATTATTCATGACGGCTAAAATGTGGAAGTGTCCACTGACAAATTAATGGATAAGCAAAATGTGGTACAAATAATGGAATATTATTAAGCCTAAAAAGGAAGGATATTCTGACACATGCCACAACTTGGATGAACCTGGATGACTTTATGTTATGTGAAATAAGCCAGTTACAAAAAGACAAATACCGTACAAGTCTACTTCTATAAGGTACTTAGGTAGTTAAAATCAGAGACAGAAAGTAGAATAGTGGTTGCCAGGAACAGGGAGGTGAGGAAAATGGGGAGTTACTATATAATGGGTATACAGTATCAGTTTTACAATCTGAAAAAAATGTTCTAGATGGTGGCTGCAAACATGTATGAATGCATTTAATACTGGTGAACATTTAAATATGGTTAAGGTGGTAAATTTTCTATTATATGTATTTTACCAAAATTTAAAAACTTAACAAAATAAAGATCAGGCAGTTTGACATAAAAGCTTAACTGACATACAAAATAGGAATCTAAAACAAAAATTAGAAATCATTTTTAAAAAGTCTTAATTTCAAAGCTGGTAGACCAAGTGAATTGTAAACTAGGTTTTTGCAGTTGCCACATGATGGCACCACTTTAGATGCGAGGTTAAAGAAAACCACCATTCATGAAGTTGGTAAGCAGTTAGCATGAAAATGGGTAATCGGGCTCCTATTTTAATATTTGCTCTCATAATCTGCAACCTTTTAAAGAGATCACAGCAAAGTCACTCATGCATTTACTTAGTAATGGTGCTGCTATTGAAAACTACAGTGAAAATCTAGTGTGATAAAGATCAAACAGCTGCTGTGATACTGAAGCCGTTAAGAACTTTTACAAATACTAGTAACAATACTGAGAAAAAAATTGACATTCCATAACAAGATGGGTTTGTGCCCTCTGAAAATGAGTCTCCCCTACTTAATATTACTTCACTGGAAACAATCAAACTGGGAGTCTTCAAAATCCCATCCCATTCAGTAACTGAGTGATTCTGATAAATTACTTTACTTGTAAGACTTTACTGTGAGAGTAAGAAATATATGTAGTGTCTAGTACAGAACTTTGTGGCCTGTTAAACATGATACACGTTATTGTAATTTCTATTTCTTTTAATGTCCCTTATATTTGTTTCTGTCATAGCAAATATTTAGATTGTCAAGTCTAATCATAGATTATCTCAACAGTTATTTCCATCCTCTAAATTCTCAAATGGCTTCCTTTCTAACACTTTGCCTCCTATTCCTTAACAATATTATAAAATCTACAAACTATTTGTAGAAATATACTGTCCTCAAAACGCTGTAACAACTTTAGTTTAAGTGTCACTGCCAGATCTCTTACCAGATTCTTCAAAATACTTGTAAAAAAACTGTAAACTTCTTGTTAATAGAGGAATACTCTCACCTCATTCAACTGAAGCCACAAACCTACTGAGTAAGGCAAGTTCTAAGGGGATATAAGAAAAAGGTTGACCTCAATCACCTGACCCTATAGTTCCTACATACAGCATTAAACTTTCACCTCTAATTCAAGTTGAGTAGCTGTACCCCCAAAAAACATTTCATCCTACTCCTTTTCTCTATGAAAAGGTGTATTTCAACTACTCTTTGTTGATATTTGATCCAGCCTGCTAGTAATCCCAAGTAAGTTTCTTGCTTAATACAACATACAGCCAAAAAAAAAAACAATAAAAACACACGGTTAATCAGCAGAAGACAAATACCATATGGTTTCATTTTCTGTGCAATCTGAAAAACAAAACACAAATACAAACAAAACAAATAAGACTTATAAACACATATAATGTGTTGGTTATTATGAGGGGTTGGGGGAGGGTGGGTACAACACAGATGGCAGAAGGATGATATGATAAGTGATGGTGATAGAGACGTACAAACTTCAAATTATGAAATAAGTCACAGGGATGAAGTACAACATAGGGAATATAGTTGACAATATTGTAATATCATATGATGACAGATGGTAACTACTTCTACTGTGGTTAAGCATTTAGTAATATATATAACCATCAAATCAGTATGCTGTGTATCTGAAACCAATAATATTTTATATCAACTATATTTCAATAAAAATTTTAGAAACATAAATAAAAGACAAAAAGACACATGATTAAGTAAGCACAACATAGATATGCAATTATAGGTAAATACTAGATCATGGATTGGAGAGGCCAGACAGTAAATATTTTAGGCTTTGCAGGCCACAGATCTCTGCTGTTGCAAGAGTAACTCCACTCTCTCATTAGAGAACCAATTTAATGACAAATGATACGTAATAAATAAGCACGGTTTTGCAACAATAAAACATTTTTTGGACAGTGATATTTGAATTTCATATAATCTTAATACGTCAGGAAATATTCTTTAACAAAAAAACTTTCCCCATCCATTTACAGGCTAGATTTGAAACATGAACCATAGCTTGCCAATTCTTGATCTATATCGTTTTCCCAGAAATATGTTTGTTTTTTATTTGGCAGGGGGTGGGAGGAAGATGTAGGAAAGAAGTTTTTTGCCTCTACATTCTGTGATTAAATCAGTCACTCACAGGAAGTTGCTTTCTCAATAGTCGGGCTCAAGATAGTTAATGTGCTACTGTGAAGTGCCTGCCTTCCTGTTAATTCAACATCTATTACTACTTTCCTTTTTTTGAGGCTTAATAACTACACTTCAGTGTTATGTCTCCATGCACAGTACTCTACTTAACTCTTGGTATACCAACAAGATCCATTTAGAACCAATTTGAGGTTTTGAGATTTTTTTCGGAAGTGTTAACTATTTGTAAGGATATTTTATGACTTTTATTTTTTCTTAGGTCTTCCAAAGATGAAAAGAAAATTTATTAAAAAAAAAGAAATAAAATTCATTCTGTGTGCAACTACAGTGTAGATCCATTAGACTCTTTTATAAATATAACCTATTAAAGAATTTTTGTTTTTCTTTTCCTTTTCTCTTGTAACATTTTACTACTTCACCATTACTTATTATTATTCATCAATAATTCCAAACCACGCTAAAACAAAAGCTAATAAGAAAACACGAATGGTGGCACCACAAAAGCAAGTGCAACAGTAGAACAAGTCACTTTTTAGCTTTCGTACTGCATTGCCCGAGGTACCACACCATCTTCCTAGAAAGCACAGAAAAGCAGAGGTAACATCTTTGTAATCTGTTTTTAGTAGGGTTGCTAGATTTAGCAAATAAAAATCCATGATACCCAATTAACTTTGCATTTCAGATAAACAAATAGTTTTCTTTAGTTTAAGTATGTGTTATGGAATCTTTGGGCCATACTTAAAATACACTGAATTCTAAAGATGTGGTAAAAGTAATCTTTAAGTGAAATCTCGGACTACAAGACTTTAGAAACTCAAAAATCAATGAGTTCACAAATAATACATTTCTAATGACAAAAAAAATACGGTATTCGCATCCAGGAATGACATCATCACAAATATTCTGCCACAAGAACCTGGGCAATCTCATTTTGTTAACAGAGCTAACAGTATTCTTCTGTTTTCTGATGTTTGAGCACCAAAACTAATTTGATAAGAAGGTTTTTAAAAGGAGGTTTTACAAATTCTTACTAAAATGTCTAATAAATTTGTTCTTTACTATTCCTTTATTTTTAGGCCTGTAAATTATTCATAAAAATGACTTTAGCACAGTAAAAATTAAGTATACATAACATGAATTCTCCTGACCTTGGGAATCATAGTCCTACTGGTCACCTAAAATATCTTAAATATCACAGCCATCACCAAGAAGGTTTACCATGTGTATTATTCATACCACTATCTCAGGGCCATTTATTTTTTATCGTGGCTCTTTGGTTCCTTTCAAACTGCAAGATGCTGGCTATGAATAGAATCTAGTCCAATCTACTTGTATGAGGAAACTTTCCAAGGCAACAGAAGAAAGAATGTGCTCAACTGATTTTTTAAAGTGTGCATACAATGTGCTAAGAATGGTGCTCTGACACTTTATCTTTATTCAAGGTCATACCTCTACCTAAAAGCAACTTTGTATGTGCTTCCAGTTTTCATCATGGACTAAGTGGGAAGACAGCAAGCTCTACATGGTGTCTCCTGGAGATGGAGCCTCCTGAGGTCTTTTCTCACCTTTATATGTTTGTAAGGTGGTGGCTTCTTGTCGTTCTTTCGGTCTTCCTGCAGCTGTCTCAGCTCTTTTTGGGCCTTTAACTCCTCAAACCTTGCTGCAGCTTCCTGAAGAGCTAAGAAAACAAAAAACCCAAGTAACTTACTCTGTGGGTAGAGTTGTTTAGTTTCCCAAACTCCCTGTTAAGTTGGAGAGAATCCATGTTTTAGGCAAAAATCAACCAAAACAATGCTGGCAAGGATGCGGAGAAAGGGGAACCCTCCTACACTGCTGGTGGGAATGTAAACTAGTTCAACCATTATGGAAAGCAATATGAAGGTTTCTCAAAAACCTAAAAATACAAATGCCATTTGACCTGGGAATTCCACTCCTAGGAATTTACCCAAAGAAAACAACTTCTCAGATTCAAAAAGACATATGCACCCCTATGTTTATCGCAGCACTATTTATAATTGACAAGATATGGAAGCAACTTAAGTGTCCATCAGTCGATCAATAGATAAAGAAGATGTGGTACATATACACAATGGAATACTATTCAGCCACAGGAAAGAAACAAATCCTACCATTTGCAACAACATGGATGGAGCTAGAGGGTATTATGCTTAGTGGAATAAGTCAGGCAGAGAAAGACAAATAGCAAATGATTTCCCTCCTTTGTGGAGTAAGCAAAACTGAAGGAACAAAACAGCAGCAGACTGGGCATAGAAGCCACAGGGCATAAATCTGCAAAGAAGTAAAAAGCTAACCTTTGCAAACAATATGGCTTCTCTCTCACTTACCAACTTTACATTTCCCTGTATGGCCCCGGAAGATGACTGGTTAGCCAGAGACGGGTAAGATTCCTCAAGGGAGGAACAACCTAAGACAGGCACAGTCGCAGGGGGGCCATCAGGTGAGAATTTGGGGATCAACAGAGGTGAGGCTCAGAACCTCACCCCCCCTGCTTTGAGAGAAATCTTCTGCATCCGTGGATGTCTTGCTGCCCTTGTCTAGCCTGGATTAATACTTAGTCCATAGGCACACACCTGATCATCTGATCATCTACATTTGCCTTCTTACAGCACTAAACTATGTTTTCTACCTTTATCTTGCATCTACCTACCACTTCAGCATTTTATTAAAAATAAAAATAATAATAATAATAGGAGAAATGTGGGATCAACATATAAATCAAGTACAAAAATCAAATGAATATTCATATTTGACCTGATGGTTTATAGGTCATATTGCATGATCAAAACCGAAAGTTTCTGTGATGACTGCCCTTGTACTGTTCACCATGTAAGAATTTATTCACTCTGTAAGAATTCGTTCACCATGTAAGAACTTGTTCGTTATGCTTCAGAAGATTGGAGACTGACGAGAATTAGGCTTGAGATGGATTAATGATTGTACATTGAGCATTGACCCCCCTATACTGAATTTTATTGTTGTTAACAACCATTTGATCAATAAATATGAGAGATGCCCTCTCAAAAAAAAAAAAAANTGGGGTCATGGGGAAGACAGTGTAGCTCAGAGAAGACAGGTAGGGACTTTGTGGCATCTTATTACACTGAGGGACAGTGACTGCAATGGGCTATGGGGGGAGAATTGATAATAATGGTGAATGTAATAACCACATTGTTTTTCTTGTGAAATCTTCTTAAGAGTGTGTATAATGACACCTTAATAAAGAAAAATAACCAAAACTATATAGAAAATTAAGAAGTATACATGGCTTATATTTTCAAGTTTATACTCCCTAGGGTATTCAGATATAGCATTAAGACAAAACATAATCCATCACCAAATGGCATAACACAGATTACCAGCCTCAGAGGAAAAACAAAAACAAAAACAACTTCAGCTAAGTGTTTTGAAAAAGCCCACGTAAAAAACGTGTTTTAACAACAACTAGACTATATCGGCTCAGCAAAGTCACCTTTTTAATTTAAGCCTCTTTCCTCAGTACTGAACTTCCTGCTTCCAGAAACATCTTGTTTCCTAACTACCCTAGGTTAACATGCCAAGTTCCTCTGGAAGAAATTCAAAGCTTAAGTTTTTCTCTCCTGCCTATTCTCTAGAACATCTGTCCTACTCTTCTAGTAAGCTTCCACTGTGTAAATACCAAGTATTAGCTGTAACAATACAAAGAGAGATCTTCACAGCCAATTTGCATTGAAGTCCTGTACTTTCTTTTACATGTTTAAAAGAATGTGTATCTTTAAGATTGTAATATCTTAGAAAGTCCAACAAAATCTTAAGATTCTCATTCTTCTTCAGTTAAAACAAAAATTTAATTCATTATCCTTGACATAGGGTAAAAACTCTGAAAAATTCCAATTCTTCCCTCTTTCCTCTCTGTGGCTTTCCCCAATGCTCTGCTCTGTCAATTCTTTAAAGAGTGTCTGTCTCCTTTGATCCATCCCCTTTTCTCCATTTCCCTGTCACCATCTAGCAGAGTCCGAACTGCCAGTTCTCTAAATTTTTCTAGTCTCTCCTTTTTTCATCCTACTATTCAGCATGCCCTGCCTAGTCTATCTACGTAGTGTCTGTCCAGTGCCCATCAAACTCCACCCCCCTGACACTTGCCTGTGACTGTCCCATCATGTCTGCCCCGAACTATGGAAACAACATCTCACTAACATTCCTGCCTGTGGCCCTCACCTTCTATAGTCCTGATATGCCACTCAGACTAAGATTTCTAAAACTCTATTCTGCCAATGCAAATTAAGCTATCTTTTCAAGCAAAATAGCCAAACCCCCATGCTTTAAACTATACCAAACACTTAGAGGTCTCTAACTTGGCAAGTTAGATTCAATGTGCGCTCGCTTTCATATGCGCTATCTTGTTGCAACATTTTAAGTTGTAGACTTCTTCATTGTCAGTGAAGAAAGTGAAAAATTCAGTAACGAATTTGGATTCTGAAGCCCAACTACTAACATTTGAAACCTTCCATCACTTACCAGCACTGGGACCTTGAGCAAGCAATTTAACTTTTATGTGCCTCAATTTCCTCATCAGTAAGATAAGGATAGTGGCATCTAAGTTAAAGGGTTGCCACAAGGACTTAAAGTTCCAGTATTTGAGGAGATGCTGAGAAAACAGAACTGGTAAGATAAAGAAACCTCCCTCAAGGCAATTCCATTAGTAAAGGTTAGACTAAAAAATAATGGGCTATGTCTAACCCCATACACAAAAATAAACTCAAAATGTATCAAAGACCTGAATGTAAGTCATGAAACCATAAAACTCTTAGAAGAAAACATAGGAAAAAATCTCTTGAATATAAACATGAGCAACTTTTTCCTGTACATTATCTCCTTGGGCAAGGGAAACAAAACAAAAAAATGAACAAATGGGAGGGACTACATCATGCTAAAAAGATTCTGTACACCAAAGGACACCATCAGAACAAAAAGGCACCCTACAATATGGGAAAATAGATTTGTAAAAGACATATCTGACAAGGGGTTAACACCCAAAATATATAAAGAACTCACAGGCCTCAACACCCAAAAAGCAAATAACCCCTTTAAAAAATGGCAGAGGATATGAACAGACACTTCTCCAAAGGAGAAATTCACATGGCTAAAAGGCACATGAAAAGATGCTCCACATTGTTAATTAGCAGGGAAATGCAAATTAAAACCACAATGAGATATCACCTCACACCAGTTAGGATGGCCAAAATAGAAAAGACTAGGAACAACAAATGCTGGCGAGGATGCAGAGAAAAGGGAACCCTCCTACACTGCTGGTGGGAATGTAAAATAGTTCAACCATTGTGGAAAGCAGTAAGGAGGAGGTTCCTCAAAAAACTATAAAAAGAAACACCATTTGACCGAGGAAGTCCACTTCCAGGAATTTACCCTAAGAATGCAGCAGCCCAGTTTGAAAAAGACATATGCACCCCTATGTTTATAACAGCACTATTTATAATAGCCAAGAAATGGAAGCAACCTAAGTGTCCATCAGTAGATGAATGGATAAAGAAGATGTGGTACATATACACAATGGAATATTATTCAGCCATAGGAAGAAAATAAATCCTACCATTTGCAACAACATGGATGGAGCTAGAGGGTATTATGCTCAGTGAAATAAGCCAGGAGGAGAAAGACAAGTACCAAATGATTTCACTCATCTGTGAAGCATAAGAACAAAGCAAAAACTGAAAGAACAGAACAGCAGCAGACTCACAGAACCCAAGAATGGACTAACAGTTGCCAATGGGAAAGGGACTGGGGAGCGTGGGTGGGAAGGGAGGGAAAAGGGGAGTAAGGGGCATTACAATTAGCACACATAACCTGGGGAGGGGGCACAGGGAAGACAAGTAGTGACTCTATAGCATCTTACAATGCTGATAGACAGTGACTGTAATGGGGTAGGGGTAGGTGGTGGGGACTGATAATGGGGGGAATCTAGTAACCACCATGTTGCTCATGTGATTGCATATTAATGATACCAAAATAAAAAAAATAGTAATAATGGGCTATGAGAATCACTTCCATGCAAAATCCTGTAGCTGCAGTTACATACTGCCCTAGAGAGCAGAACACAGCTGGCTAATACTGCATTTGTGAATTCTAACATGTAACAGAGCAGATACTTAGGCAACGGAGGTCTGTGTTCATCTGAGAAACAAAGAGGATAACGTTACCTTTTTTGTATGTCCCATCCACTCCTTTGCCCATTTTATCCTTGCTGCTCACATCCCCCTCCATGTAGGGAAAGACTCGGGCCTGGTGAGTCCACAGATAGTCATTAGACCCAAAGAATAGCACAGGGAACTCGCCCACATCATGTTTCATCTTATCAATATTGGAAGGTACAGCTCGAGGATGGCAGATCTCAGCTGGCCACCACCTGGGAAATGTGAAAAAAGGAAGGAAACCTCTCGAAGGCTGCAAGGCATTGGGAAAATAACCTAGTTTTAGGACAGGAATAAGGAATAGTAGGTCTGTCTCTCCACATTAAAGTCTGACCTAGGGAATTCTTACAATCTAACTAGAGAACTAAAGTTAAGTGGAGAAAGCTGTAAATGCTCACCCTCATGAACATGCTTGCATGCACACCCACACTCCCTTAGATTTACTTACTCTATTTCAAGAACTCTGTAAGAGGAAATTAATTAGATATGAACAAAGCTTTATGACTGTTATGTACTCTGAAGTGTTATCTGTAAGAATAAAAACCTAGAAACAATCTAAATCCTCAACACGAAGGGAATGATAAAGTAACTATGGTACACAATACAATGAAATACAATTTGGTCTTTAAAAAGGAAACTTTCCATAAATACTATAGGGGGTATAAAAAAATGACATCATGAAATGCCCCTCAAAATAAAATTAAAGTAAGAGTACAGAAATTAACACAATCACTTTAGGAACACAATTTGGCATTAACTATTAAAGTGAGAAGCCCTATCTTGCTGGTCTATCCTGAAAATGCCCTACTGAAGCTCTTGTGCATGTACACCAAGCAACACTGACTAAGTGTTTGTAGCCCAAACAGGAGAATGGATAAATGAGCTACCCCACACTATAAGACTAAAAAAAGGAGCACTGTAGAATAGTGAAGTATGAATGAGCTAGAACATGGCACTATAAACCTCAGGAGCATAATGGTAAATGAAAAAGACAAACTACAGGAAAACATATCAATAATTGATTTATATAAAGGTCTAAATCATACAGAACAAATGTGGTAAACCTATACAGCAAGGCAAGGGAATAAAAAGAACAATACAAAATGCAGTATGGTGGTTACTGCTAGGGGCAAGGAGAGAAAGGATTCACACAGGGGGTATGGTGGGAGCCTCAAGAGTGCCAGCAATGTGCTATTTCTTTAACTGGGAGGTACACACAGGTGTTCCTTTTATTTTTTAAAATCACACATGTTATAATATTCTTTTGTACATTCCAGGTTCAATAAAAATAATTTTATAAAGAAAAAGCGAAACACAACCTGGGTATAAACTATAAAAACAATTATGTACTGGTGTGTCTGTGAGTAAATATGCCAAAATGTTAGCAATGTATCTTCCTTGTTTGTGAAATTATGAGTTTGTTTCCATTAATGAATATTCTACAGAGAATATGTTTTATTCTTAAAATCGCAAAATGTTAGGCAAGTTTTTTTCTTTTATAATGGAAAGCTAAAGGATGGAGTGGATGTTGCTTAATCAGGGAGGGTATTTTTTTTTTAAGATAAGCACCGTATCTATGAGATCTCAAGAAACAGGATGTTAAAAGAAATGAGTGCCAATCCCCTTTATGCTTACTCACCTGTATCGCCCAACTTTTACCCAGACAATTTCCCTGTAATGTGGCTTTTTGCCTGCTTTACAGTCATTGCAATACCAGTTTCCTTCAGGGATATCAATGTTCAGGCATTCACGATGAAAAGCAGCAGGGCAAGAATCACAACACAGAAGGCTGCCTCCTGTGGAATAAAAAAAATCTGGCTCTCAGAATCACAAGACTGCATGTAAGGACCCAGGTGAAACAGCTTTTGCTCAGCTCAAAACCAATTATTTATTTCCAAGCCAGGGGCTTAGTAATTTAATTAGTTATTAAAAAAGATTTTTCTAGAAGAGTATTCCCTCTCCAATATTCCTGAATTGCCCTGCTGTGCTTATATACACAGCAAACCAACACTGAGATCTTGGCAAAATTAGGCTAGAACATTGAAGTTAGAGGTAAACCTCTGAAAGTCATGTATGTGTATGTACACACACAGATTTCTTCCTTTTCACTAAAAGACACTACACTAAATAAAGGGTGTATCAACAACACACAATGATCAGAGTATAAAGAGCACAAGTTTTAACTCATGTCAGTTTGAGCTCTAAGATCATATGACTCTGGGGAACTCACTTTTCTTGCTGAGTTGCAACTGCCTCAATGTTAAGGTATTTTCTACAATGAACAATAAATAATCACATCTGTTTGAGGACTAAACAAGTAAAGAAACTGCCTAGTAGTGTCTGACACATCAGTAGTCTCCATAAGGTCAGTTTTTTCCCTCTTCTTAAATAACCTTTTTGTCTCTTTTAGGTTTAGCACTCTCATGACATCTACAGGCCCTCGTCAGAATAACATTTATAAATACATAAATTTAACATAAAAAGATTAAAATATAATGATCAAACTGTTAGAACAAGAGATTATGTTTCTTTGTAATGCATAAATAATAAGATCTAGCAGTAGAATGATTATATATATTTCAAGATATCTACTACAACTATAATATCTATGATTTTCATTGTTGAACAAAAATCACAAGTATTAATGTTGTTTGTTGACTAAGCCTCAGCTAGTTTAAGTTCCCCCCTCTCCATCTAAGTTTTAAAAACAGGAGGTTAATTATATATATTGCAGTGAAATGAATTTTCACTTCTTAAAGATCTGTCATTCAAAGTGACTCAATTTACCTAGCTGACTCTGAGATTCTCATGACTACAGATAATAAAGAATATCAGGTAAAGGATTCATATTTAAAGATAAAATAAATGCCTTATTTATCTTATGTCAGAAATGAGCATGCTTTAAACATGCTAGACTCAAGCACGTTAACTCAAAATTTCATTGTGAAGAGGTAAGTGAGGAACACACCATAGCAATATATATGCCTGTCCACATCCATCTTGGTCTCCTATGCCTCTTCTTTTACCTTGTAAAATCCTACCAAAAATTTAACTTTGCAATACCATCCTTATACAATTTCTACTTGTGCTGATTTTTTCCTTTTCTCAATAACCTACAGCAGAATCTTAAAACAAGCTTTGGGGTATAGGTTTGTATTGATAAGGCTAGGGATATATGCTTGAGACACAACTCCTTCTTCAACTAGAGAAGTTCTGCTTTTATCTGTATTGTATACTGGAGCTCAGATTCTGAGTGTGATTTCATTTAGAAAAAAGTCTGTTGCTGGAAAACAAGTTTGAAGAACTTGTTTACTCAATACATATAGCCTGTAGTCTATGCTCTGAAATTCAGATTTAGTTATTCTTGTGCATTTTGTGGATGAGTCAAGTAGTATTATCGTTGTTTGGACATTAAGAGTGATGTGGTGTCAAAAAGTTTAATTGTCCCAATAATGGAATGCTTTTATAACATTCCTATCTATACTTAGTTTTTCTGCTGAGTCACGATTTCACTGATGGCACAGTTTGCAAACTACACAGACTTGGCACAAAAACCTTCCTTATTAAGTTGGCATTCATGACACGCTAGAAATTTTGTTATGTACAGCAAAACATTTCAATTAGGTCTTCAACAAAGGATATATAGCATGAAGAAATCTACACAGAATACCCAGTGAAGAAAGGCAAAGGGTCAGAGATGAGAGAAAGAGTGGTAAGCACATCACTTTTGCAGGAAGGACATGATAAGATATGAGATGAGGGTGGATATGAGGAAACAAATCAACAGGATGAGTCTCGGTAAATGGATGGGAGGATAGGCAGGAAAGACTATCTGTTGGTGTACAAGAGAAAGAGGAGGGAAAACCATCTGACCTATCAAAAGAAATCAAAAGATGAAAAAGTGGCAGCTGGTGGAAAAGACTAAAAGAAAATAAACTTTAAACATATTGCTGAATTCCAGGAACTGATTCCTTTTAACTTAGCAATTTACCATATTATTATCCTAATACTCTGGATAAGCACCTTCAGTTCTCTATACACAGACAAAAAACCATCCTAAGACTCTATTCTTCCCTGTCCTCTAACACAATAATCTGAGATAGTGCGATCAGTAGTTGTCTGGCTTCTTGGCCTCTGGACTCCTTTATACTCTTGAAAAATAAGGGCTATCCAAAAAACTTTAGTTTAGGTAGGCTAAAAATACTGATGTCTACCAAACAAAAATAAAATCTAAGCATTTAAACAGGGAGCCAAGATGGCAACGTGACTAGAGCAGTGGAAATCTCCTCCAAAAACCACATATATTTTTGAAAATACAACAAATACAGCTCTTCCTAAAAGAGAGACCAGAAGAGACAGGACAACAGACAGACTACATTCACACCTGAGAGAACCCAGCGCCTCGCAAAAGGGGTAAGATACAAGCCACGGCCCGGCAGGACCCAAGCGCCCCTCACCCCAGCTCCTGGTGGGAGGAGAGGAGTCAGGGAGAGGGAGCCCAAGACTGCAAAATAGTGAGGCCTAGACATCCGCATCAGAACGCAGACACAGTGCGTGTGTGGGGTGCTGGAAACTTGGGAAACAGGACAGTAAGACCTGTGAGCGGGTCCCTGTAGCCGGTGCCCCTGGGACAAAGAAAAGTGAGTGCTTTTTGAAAGTCTTAAAGGGAAAGGGACCCCACAGCTGGACAGAAGCATCCCGGGACACTTAGTCCAGAGCTGGGATTCCCGGGGAACTCTGGGTACCCTAAACCCCTGAGCAACAGTGCAGCTCGGGGGCCCCTCACGGAGATAAACAGCCTCCCGGCTGTTTCCCATCCGACACGGCTCTGCCATACGGGAGCAGCAGCCTAAGGCAGGCCATGCCCACGGGAACTGCGGAGCTAAACTCCACAGCGGCCGTACAAGAATCAGAAGCCCCATCTGCCCTCAGATGCCCAGCACAAGCCACTAGAGGTCGCTGTTCTCCCAGGAAAGGAAGGCCACAAACCAACACGAAGGGACGTTCTCCTAGCCCTCACTTGCACCAGCTCCGCAAACTATCTCTATCACCATGAAAAGGCAGAATAATTTGATACAGACCAAAATCACAACCCCTGAGAAGGAGATAGACCTAACCATTCTTCCTGAAAAAGAATTTAAAATAAAGGTCATAACCATGCTGACCGGGCTGCAGAGAAATATACAAGAGCTAAGGGATGACATCCGGAGGGAGATTACAGAAATGAAACAACCTCTGGAAGGGTTTATAAGCAGAATGGATAAGATGCAAGAGGCCATTGATGGAACAAAAAACCAGAGAACAGGAACGCATAGAAACTGATGCAGAGAGAGACAAAAGGATGTCCAGGAATGATACAATATTAAAAGAACTTTGTGACCAATCCAAAAGGAACAATATCCACATTATAGGGGTACCAGAAGAAGAGAGAGAAAAATGGATACAAAGTATCTTTGAAGAAATAATTGCTGAGAACTTCTGCAAACTGGGGGAGGAATTAGTTACTCAGACTACAGAAGCACACAGAACTCCCAACAGAAGGGACGCAAAGAGGACAACACCAAGACACATAAAAATTAAAATGGCAAAGATCAAGGACAAGGACAGAGTATTAAAGGCAGCCAGAGAGAGAAAAAAGGTCACCTACAAAGGAAAACCCATCAGGCTACCATCAGACTTCTCAAAAGAAATCTTACAGGCCAGAAGAGAATGGCATGATATATTTAATGCAATGAAACAGAAGGGCCTTGAACTAAGGATATGGTATCCAGCACGATTATCATTTAAATATGAAGGAGGGATTAAACAATTCCCAGACAAGCAAAAGTTGAGGGAATTTGCCTCCCACAAACCACCTCTACAGGGCATCTTACAGGGACTGCTCTAGATGGGAGCACTCCTAAAAAGAGCACAGAACAAAATACCCAACATATGAAGAAGAGAGGAGGAGGAATAAGGAGGGAGAGAAATAAAGAATCATCAGACTGTGTTTATAATAGCTCAACAAG